TGTAGTTTATTTGGTTAAATATTAAAATTTCATAGCTTTACCTTCAACAAAATGAATAAATGATACCATCATCTCCACTAAGAAGCCTTCTATTCGTCACCTTATTAATCTTTTCCAATAATTCTAAATTTTATAACTAATAGAGTTGAAAATACTTGACAAAGCCCTTTTTATGAGCTCTTCAATTAAATTCAAAATTTTACGTTAATAAGGAGAGAGTTCTAGAATGGCCATTTGGACCTTTTTACGCAGAACTACTTATAATATATACGCTTAATGACATCTTCATCCGTACGACTTCTATTTTCCGTCAAATCGAAAGAATTAGCTTCAAAATTTTACATTAAATAGCCAAAGAGAGTTCTAAAATCTCCTTTTTGACTTCTTTGTGCAGAACTACTTAAACTATATAAGGTAAACGACGCCTTCATCTGTACGACTTCTATTTCTAACCAAATCGAAAGAATTAGCTTCAAAATTTTACATTTAATAATCAAAGAAACTTTAAAAATGTCCTTTTGACTTCTTTGCGTAGAGCTACCTAAAATAGATACGGCAAAAAATGCCACCAAATGCCACTCTTAATCTTACTTTCTCTACTAAGTATATACACGTAGAATTAGTTTTTCAAATTTGACATTAAATAACCGAAGAGGGTTCAAAAATGCCCTTTATTAATTTCTTTGCGCTGAATTACCCAAAATACATACAGTAAACAATGCTCTCTATCAATATTACTTACATTACTTAGCTAATAGAAAAAATATTATTTCAAAAATTGTACATTAGCTAACCAAAGAAATTCATAAAATATCCTTTTTGAGCTCTTTGCGCAACACTACCTAAAACTAAATTGATATAGCAAAAGAGGCCATCATTGGCACTACTTAATCCTACTTTCCCGCCCAATATACATGCATAGAATAAGTTTCAAAATTTCATATTGAATAACCAAAGGAGTAGAAAAGGTTCTTACTTCGACCGCTTCGCGTATATCTAACTGCCTAAAATATATAAATGAATGCATAATATATAATTGCCAACATTTAATCATGCATTCATTACTAAATACGAATCGGGACGTATAATTAGTTTCCAAAACGTTATATTAAATAAGTAAAGAGTTCAAAAATGCCCTTTTTAACTGTCTTTTGTAGATAACTATCTAAAATTAATATGATAAACGATGGCATCATCCGCACCAATCAGTCTTGAATTTGTCATTAAATATTTCTAATCGTTTTCCATTAATGATTTCAGAATCCTAAATTAAATGCTATCGACGACTTTACAAACTTTTTTACACAGTTTATCTCAATAACGTAACTGCTCTTCGTGACTATACAGGGATGAACCAGTCCTTTATTACTTTCATGTTCTTACTTTTGTAATTGTAGTCTATTTCGGTTAAAGGATTATCCGTTTGCCTTCACAAACAGATAGATGGCGCTATTATCGCCATCACTTATGGTAACGAGAATCAGTTATAGACAACATTAGAATCCTCCTGTTCATCCTAGCCCTGAAATAGCTTTAACAGAATTCTCCATGAGTCTAAAAGCAATTTTTCGTCTCATATCCAAAACAATTACTGCTATCTACCTCTACTCATATTGACAAGTCGAGTTGTCAAAATAGGATCACCTAGCCTTCCACACAATCGATGGCTCTGTATTGCAGCCCGAATTAGCTTAATAAATTGTAGGAAGTCACTAAATGATCTATAAAATGGTAAGATTAACGCAGTATGTGCAAGATTGCAGACTAACTGAAATCTTAACATTGTGTTAGGAGCGTATAAGCGTATCCATACTAAATAATTACAGAGAGTATTATTGTATTGGTTAGGAATGTCTGATTGAGAAGTTGGACAGCAGAGATAATGTTGAGTAATCTAATGCTAGACTAATCAGAAATTATAGACCTAAATAGAGTAGAATCATAATGGATAAGCATGAGATCTTTACTCCCAGAGATTTAATTAGTCTTGCTCTTTGTCAGGGCTAATAGATAATATCTATGTTACAATGAGCGGTAGTCGAAAATGTGAAAATTCTATTCTCTGTCCTAGTTTTTAAATTGCATTGATATAATCCTTGGTGATAATATCAGCAGTTTTACGCTTTCTAATCGCAGAGTTGACAAATTCCTTCTTTATCTCTTTGCTCACAACCAATACAGATTTATTCATTTCAAGAGATGATCAGCTAGCCTTGAATTAAGTGGATTTATGGTAGTATCATTCTTTAGCAAACAGAAGTCCAATCTAGCCTAGAATGACTTTAGCATTGCACAAAATATTATCTGCTGACATACCATACAGATAGACATAGATTTCCTGTTTGCTTATGGGATCGTTCACAAAGATGGTCATCACTACCCATAGTAGCACTAACAAGCTTCTATCTATAATGGAATAGGATCTCTTCCTATCCATGGTGTTACAATTTTATTAAAATGGCGGCTAAGACAAAAAAAAGAATAATGAAATACAGTAGTAACACTAATAAGTTCTTCTATTTTTGTCACTCAATGCGTACAATATCATTACGTAATGGAGAAGTCTTTGATCAAAATGAGAATTAAACTATAATAGCAGCTATACTTCTCACAACAAACTGCGTGAGTTTTAGAATATCATCAGTTTGTCATTAGATAAACCGACAATAAAGGGAATATCAATGTCAGTTGCTAATTCAAGGTTAGAATCCTACGCTATGATATCCATGACGATAATAGCTTTTCATCGTTGTATATTTTTTAACTTTCAACTAGGTTAAAAAAATGGAGAGATAAGCCAATCTAGGAGAAGGTGCTTGTCAAATCAGTCAGAATGGATATTATCCAATTAGTTTAAATATGGTGTACAGCTTAATCTTGACATCTATGTTAATCCTAATACAATTTAATCTACCAAAAATTAACAATAATCTACCCTTACATTGTATATACATTACAAATGCAAAAAGTCATAGATAAAGAGTACTGTAACATTATATTTTACTACAAGTTCTTCCTTTCTCATTTATACGGAAGTAAATACGATTTTTTACTGAATGATATTAAGCTAAGAAAGGAAAATAAACTGCGATATCAAACCAGCCAAAGATACACTGCTTAAGAAATACATTCCCAATTGAGGTTTTCCTTTCTATTTTCTTTTTATTGCCAGGGATTTTTTAATTTGCACGACAGTAAGCGACGAAGAATAATTAATTTCAGTGCATAGGTAATTCTGTTTAGGGTGAATTAGCTATCAAAAGCCGAGAAAGAAGGATTGAAATTCGGTTAGTCAAAGATGAACAGCGTTTTGGTATTACTGTCACAGACATCATTCGAATAACAGTACAAATTCTTTTCCCTCTCTTTTTGTAAGCCACCAATTCTGGTATTGCATTAAATTGCAGGGAATGATTCTTATAATTTAGATAAAGTGGACTTGTTTTAAACTTAGTCAGTTATTGAGAGCTGTGGGAGGATTAAAAATTCGACTAATCAACGATGAACAACATTCCAATGTCACGGTCACAGATATTCATTTCAGTAAGAGTGGAAATGTTTTCTTTCTTTCCAAATATTTTCGAATAGCATTAAGCTACGAAGAAATGATTAATTTTAACAATAGTGAAAATGCTTTCTTCCTTTTCAACTATTTTCGTATAGCATTAAGCAACGAAGAATGATTAGTCTAGATCAAGTAAACAATGTTTTGGAATTAGTTGGCTGTTGAAAGCCATGAAAGGAAGATCAAAATCCACTAGTCAAAGATGAGCATCGTTTTAATATCACTGTGGTAGATGTTCATTTTGAATGATAGTGAAAATTTTTCTTTCACAAATCTTTTTTGCAATCCATCGATTTTCGTATGCATTAAGCTGCGACAAATAATTAATTTAAAAGAAATGGATTTGTTGAAGGTTAGCTAGCTATTAAAAGCTAAGAAAGGAAGATTAAAATTCTGCTAATCAAGGATAAACTGTTTCAACATCTGTATTCAAGGAGTACATTTGAATTGGTATGAATATTCTTTCTTGCCCTTGCCTTAATGTTAACCATTTCCTTTCCCATGACATTAAATTACAAAAGATTAATAATAAAATAGACTATTTCTTAAAATGAACGAATCTATTCTATTCGTCTAAGGTAGAGTAATTTTAATTTTAGCCTGCCATCATCTTCTACTTTGCCCACTGTTATTACCCTATTATACGAATATTTGTCTATCTGTCAAATTAATCCCATCATCTTCAAGTAGAATAAATAATTTCTTAGTTAGCGACCCACTACAAGAGGTCTTCAAGAATGGAGAATATTAAAATCATTTTATAGTTTTAGTCAAGTTTTTTTTCTTACGTAATTTCATTCACGGAACAGAAGTAATTAGGCAGTGATCTGGTTGAGATAATAAAAGTTGATTTTATACTACAGTAGAATCTTTAATATTATTAGTATTATTAGCAATAATTCGCTTAAGATACTTCTCGAATATTTCCCAATTTATAGATGTAATCTATTCAATTTTTACTCCTACTTTACAACGCTTTCTTGCATTAACAGAGTCATATTACCCTCTCTTATTGATAAGTTAATATGATGGAATAAGGAATTTGCTATTGTTCTCTGATTGGACTTATCTGTTAATAACTTATCCACCCTATCAGTAAAGTTATGTTAATAATTAAAGAAGTCAAAATAAATAGTAATTATTGATGTAGCACTTTCGTTATGCCACATCTTTTTCGTATATATGCATCTTCAAACCATCGCGTAACCATAACGATGACCTATTTTCTCAATTTCTTCTCTCATATATTAACATGACCAGGCTAATTTTGGACTCTACAGTGGAAGACTCATCATTTATATTGACAATAAGCAAAATCATAACTTACTAGTAGACATTAGGTAAACAACCAGGAAAAAAATACTCTTCTAGATGGCTGTCTTTAGATTCGCTCGAATCGTGACTATGATCCAATAGCAGTTTGATATTGAATGACATGAATAGCGGACTGCTTCATATTTATATTAATAGAAGTAATGTATACGTTAGTTTACAATGTCCAAGACAATTATAACGAAAAGATATTAATCATTTCTTCGGATGTTAAAAGTACTATTATAGGTTAACTGTTATAATAAACAGGGGACTATAATATATTTATTGATGTTAGATATATTGCTTTGGGAGGAAGTATAATTTTGGGTTGATCGGTAATTAATTATGGACTGTTCATTTTATATGCGAGCTACGCACGTTTTTCATTTTCCATTGTGTTAAAATATAGAATCGTTGTGTAGATATATATATATACTGTACGTATATGAATGACTCGAATAAAATTTTGTTCAGGATCGGAGAAATAAATAGTATCACTTATTTTACCTAATTCTTATATTCTAGGGATCCGTAAATTATGCTCAACGCGCATTCTTTAATTACGTTTATTACAAGCCTACAAAAATCATGTTATTAGGAGCAGATTTTTCTACGGTAACAGAACCATTAGCCACAACTTCATCGTTATGGAATTTAATTCAGGTATGCTAAATTACTATGGTTAATGTCATTATGCTATCTAAGAAATACTGTAATTTTAATGTAGTACCTAAGTCCAATATGGATATTGCCAGACAATTTAACATTAATTATAGAGAACACATAATATTGATTTTACGTAATTATCCAGAATATATAATACTGATTTTTCACCTTATTATCCGGAACGTATGATATTGATTTTATCCTGATTTATTATCAAGAATGTAAAATATCAATTTTTACTGTATTATTGATGATATGTGATTTAGACTTTCTTTCTGAATATTTATTCCATCATCAACTATAGTTGCAATATAAGTTTCAGCAGAATTTTTTACAGCTTTACAATAGCTGACATATTGTATAATGCAACTTAAATTCTTCCCGCCTAAAAGCTCGCATCTATGATTAATATGGCATTTGTGATATTAAGTCAGTACAAATATATAGTTCGGTGCCTTAGTTTAGAGATAGTGAAAGATAGATTTACTGATTTCAACCATGGCAGTGATCATTGCTTAATGCAGAAACTATTAAGATAAGAGGCAAAATCTAGCAGTATTTAGATCATTCATAGTGGAATGCTTGGGTAAAATGGCCATTTTTTAGTATCGATACGGAAGCAATCCAGATATAAAGTAAAAATTAGTAGTAGTTGGACCTTTAAATTAGAAGGCATAGTGACTATTTAAGGCGGAAATAGTTGATATATATAGCTGGAATGATCGGTATTCAGACATTTAGAATAGAAAACATCGGTAAAAATTATGATTGTCCCGTATAGAAAGCGCAATGATAGCTGTATATAGCTAGTAACATTAGATTTTTCTCACACTGATTATTTTAAGGTATCATTTGCATCTACTTCTCCTGTTCTATCCAATCGTCAACGATTTCCATACTTTTATCGTACTGTGCAATCCGATATTGATTACAACGATCCAAGAATTGCTCTTTTGCGTTATTTTCGATGGACTACCGTTGGAATTTTATATCAACTGGAAAACATTTTTTCAGAGGTAGCTGTATCTAAATGCAAAATTTCATACGAAAATAATCTACTTTTGAAAATGGATATATTGATGTGCATAAGATAGGCGCAGATTTGAAAGCGGATTAAAATTGTACGTTGCTAACTGAATTTAATTGATGAGTTGATATACCAACCATATTAATTCGACCATCACTAGGCCATGAGTAGCTTGAGAACAAGCCTTACAGCAGCAAATATTAAAATTAACGGCTATGAAACTTTTCGTGAAGATCCATATGACGCTGTTCGAGCACTAAAGGTTAAATTCTTTTTAATTAATAGCTAACCTAAATTGCACTAACTATTGAATTGAATCTAATATATTAATTCCTGTTGCTTTGTAAATCGTAGCTAAGACTAATTATATTAACTTTATGGACGATCTATTTATTAAGATATTCAACGTTTTGCTCTTGACTTTGAATTATTTTCCTCGTAGAGTCGTGATGCTAGAATTATCATTGCCAATTTCTATGAAAAACAGGGCGCTCATGTTCTTTGCGAGGTAAGACACCGGTGCTGCTGTAGATACAGTAATAAATTTCCTACTTAACTTTAACTGAATGACTATACGCTTATAAAAAGAATCATGTTTACGAGTATGTCGGCAAACTGGCTTCAGGTAACAACGGCATGATTGTCTTAGCTTGTTGCCACTTGATACTGCAGATTCTACATATCTACAGCTAAATTTCACGACGGAGTTTATATCGTTAGCTAATAAGCTCAATCATTCATATCATTAGCTAATGAGATCAATAGTATTCTTATAGCTTAGTGTATAAAACTTTTTGCAATTTTAACTACAATTTTAAATTTTACTTAACTAATTTAATTCTATTAACGCGTTTTATTGTTATTAACTTCCTCTTTTAAATTGGTTTCTAGGCTTATCATCAAAATATGCGAGGTGGAAAATATGTTTGGATCTTGCTCGGATGGCTGCAAGGTCAATGGTGGAATACAACCGTTATAGCGCGATCCGGCAATTGTACCTCTAAGGAACTAATCGAAGTTTTGGATAACCATTTTACCACTGATTTGGTTTATTTAAACGACGATAATGAAACGATTCCATCAGGGAAGGTAACCCACAATAACCAACGATATTAGTAAACTATAAATCATATTTAGATGAGAATCAATCATTTGCTGCGTAGAAGTGTACAAGAAGCTTTCGACATATTTTACTTTTGAAATAACATCATGCAATATGATAGTTTTCAAGGATGGTATTTAGTAAGATGCTTTTTTCATAGCCAACTACGTGCATACCTTTCATGATGTAATTGATTAGCTTAAAATTTCAATGTTTGCATCAGAGATAGATTTTATTAGCTATGCTTTTCGTAATCATAAAGCTGATTATTTAATAGACATTGCATTACAGTCACAGCACAATTCAAACGCTCAAATAATTACAACTCAATTTCCATTTTTTCTAGAATGTTAAACAACTTGTGACAGAATTAGAAGATCGATTAGGCTATCCTCCACAAACCCATGGTTATTATCCTTTTGCTTACGATGCTATCTATGCTATGGCATTCGCCATGAACGTGACTGAAAACCAGTTATCAAAAAATAACAAATCTTTATCACAATTTCATTACGGCGACATTACAATGGCTAAAATGTTAAAAGATAACATGGATTATGTAAAATTTCGCGGATTAACGGTACTTATTTTTCTACTGTATAAATTTCAAATAGATCTAAACCAAAATATATAGGTAGCTGTAATTGACTAGTGGATGATAATCTAATTTAAAATATATTCGAATAGAGTAAAACATAGTTTATTTATTGTATAAAATAATTATGTATAATTTAGGGTCCAGTTAGCTTCAAATCAACAGGGGATCGAGAGGGCAATACCAAGATAAATCAAATTCAATGTATGTATGAAATAGACGACATTGCAGTAGACAAAATTGCTGGAAAATTATAATTTTATGTAATACGAAGCGAAATAATAATAATTATGGCAAGGATATGTCGATATCCTTTGTACTTTATATATATACATTGTGGTAATAAAAGTATAATTAGTATACTTATACCTGTTAAATTCTAATTTAACTAATTTCATAAATTTTTAACTCGTCAGTTGAAGGAAATGTAGGCAATAAAGTACTCGTTGGAATTTACAAAAGTTCAAGTAAAGAAATCGTTATGAATAGGCAACTTATCAGATGGACCGGTAAGTGATGATGGAGTTTAAATGTAATGAAACAATTTTCTTGCGTAAATTCAAGATGTCAAGAGATAGCAAGGCGAAAATATATAACTTTACTTCCTTATCAGCCTTGAATTTATTACGATATAAAAATCTTTTAAATTATTTGTCGTAAGAACGTATCTATATTTAACAAATAAATAAATAAAATCAGGGGGAAAATATCAGGTGTATGTTTTACTATGTATTTGCGACAATTTAGATAATCAACATACATCGTCATTCTTTTAAGATAGTACCTCAGGTCTGCAATAACAATATGCAAAATTATAGTAGACATGTAGTAAAATAAGTTATCTTCTTGAAATAATCCCGAAAATAAGCTAATATCTTCATTATTTTCTATATTAACTAAGCCTGAGTTAAAACACGAATCTTTCGTTTCAATTTTCTGTAGATAACTCCACACCAGTAGCCGCTGTTCGAAGGATTATAGAACCGACATCGATTAACTTAGACCTATTTATCGGTGCTTGTGCCACGGCGGCTTTGGGTATCGTGCTAGCGATCGGATTTCTCATTTTCAATCTTGTTTATCGAAACCATAGGTAATTTTATGTTGGTAATATCCTCAGTTTACTGTCATTACATTTGACATAAATTAAATTAGTGAAATAGAAGATTAATTAATTTTAATGCGCATAGAGAATATCTTCATATTGAAGTTACAACTATTAATGTTAAATACTAGATTTTACAAGCAAACTGCTCTCAATCTTAACAATTTTTTTATGTATACTCCCTCTAGATATATCAAAATGTCAAGTCCAAACTTAAATAACATCATCATTTTGGGTTGTATTATTATGTACGCCTCGGTATGTGTTTTTGGTCTGGACAATCGCTTCATTCCGGAACATTTACTTGTTCTAATATGTTCGGTTAGTATGGAAAAATATGAAATAAATTTATGCATATGTAACTGCAGAATGATGGCATATAAATCGTTATAGCTGCTCCGATATCATGTATTTCAAATATTAACAATTATAACTATCCTAAACTTTATCTACTGGCAATGATCATATTGTGATAATACAGATAAAATCTATCTAAAATACAGTATAATCGTTAGAAAAATACACGTGCATTCATCAGTAGATTTACTCATGATGTATCTTTGGATATTCTATAAACAGTTACGCATGTGGGTACCAATCATTGGCTTTACCTTAGCCTTTGGTACAATGTTTGCCAAAACTTATCGAATCTACAAGATATTTGTTGGTAGTAGATCCAATAAGAAAGTGGTAGGTAGCACTTCAAAACATGAAATTATAATATTCAGTCTATAACTGCAATAGAAGGTAGTGTTTATTCATAGCTAAATGCCATATACGGAATTTAAAAATATCTATAAATGCTTTCCAGGCTGTATCAATACCGCAAGTAAGTATGACCTGAAATGATACTATAAAACTATTGATTTTCTACTACCAAATTATAGATTATTACAGATACGCAATTAGTCATTCTCGTTGGTATTCTCCTATCTATTGATTTTATTTTATTGGCTACTTGGCAATTAATTGATCCACCAACTATTCAACGTTTCAATATTTCAGTAAGTGAATAGGTTTAATCATTACTACTCGCTAGAATGCACTATTGTTATGATTTATTAATACCTTATATTTTATATCATGTTCACTAAACATTGGTATCCTCAGTATATATTGAATACGGTTACTATTTCCTATCGTAGACTTATCAGAAAAGCCAAGATGAAACAATCGTTTCTCAAATTTGGTTGTGCCATAGTAAGCATAACTTATACTGGTTTATTGCATTATATACCGAGAAAGGATTGCTATTGCTGGCTGGTATGTTTCTGGCATGGGAAACACGAGGTGTTCGCTACGCAGCATTGAATGATTCTCAGTACATTGCAATGTCAGTTTATAATGTCGTGATTCTAAGTGGAGTGGGAGTATTAGTGGTTTCTATTATGGCTAAAAGTATTAATGCAGCTTATGCGTTAATGTCGGCGTTATTAATATTTGGCAATACAGTCATTTTATGCTTGGTATTCGTTCCAAAGGTATCGATTGATTTATCTAATTACTATTGATAGCTAACTAATATACACCTAAATAGCATACAACAAGTACTTACAATTTATTTCGCAAAATCAGTTAATTAATGTATTAAAAGTCACTGATCGATTTCTTTATATCTTTTTCTTAATTAATTCAACTATCTCGTCAATAAATAAGTTTATCGAATTCAAGAGAAAAGACGATCCAATTCATGGTGATTCAAGAAGGCCATCTATGAATCCTTCAGCTATGCAATCAATATCGGCTACAAATATGGCTCTTATTAGTAAAACACCTAGCACATGATAAGTATTATATCATTGTTCCTACTGGTTTATTTCCATTCTGTATTCATCAAAATATGGCATCGAAATGTCATAGGCAAAATAATAAAGGATAATTATTACTTAATTTCTCTATAGGTCAAAATGTCCACATTCTTTTTGTTCCATTAAAACTAACTAATCAAGTAACAAAATCACTACTGATTGTAACTTGTTTTCAGGGATTAAAGCTTGCAATAGATAAGCATAATCCTTACATATTGATTTTTTATCCGTACCAACTGCTTTTTAATAAAGTTAAAGTTCAATCATCCCACTATAATATAGCTATAGCTAGATACGATACCTGAAGTATATTGATTATAATTTCGACTACGAAGACATTGTAGCAACTTATAATATTAAATCTATTTAAATGTTATTAAATAATTAATTAATCCAAAAATTTTCCCTGTACTATGCTTAATGTTGAACTATACTATTAGTTTCAGAATTAATCCACAATGGTTATCTTTTGGATATGCTATGCAATCATATCATTTTAATAACAAAAAGTTAACTGATAACCTAATCGAAAATTTTGTTACTATTCCTATTTTATGATGATTATCGATATCGCTGATTGGAAAATCAAAACACGCTTTTGTTGATTATCTCATTTCATATGTAATCATCTTTAATTGTTTTCCTCATTAAAATATATGCCAAGGCACTCTTTAATGGCGAGTGAACACTAATATTTGACTACTGCTGATACTTTATTATAACTCATCTCATATTATTGACAGAATTCCCTGTTATTAGTTAATGAATTATAGTAAAGCATTAGAACTTTACATATCTAGGCAATTCTAAGCAAATTATACCCAGTATCGATACAGATTTGTCAATTCGACTGTGTTGTAATTAAGTCAAGGCAGGATACTTAATAGCTAATAAACATGTATATAGAATTAGGATTGCGATTCTCCTATTTCCGTGTTAATTACCGATATCTTCTACTGTAATTTTAAGAATTTTATAAGTAAAACACAATAATGTGCTAATGTATGCTCCAAGATTATCGCTACCCTAAGAAAAGGTGAGATTTGATTTCGTATCGCACTTTACGTCATCATCATGTATGAAAATTTATCTGCAATTAATATAACAGCTCAGCATGTTTTTGGTATTATCGTCAAAGCACAAATTTTATTGTGAGTTAAAAAGATAAAGCAATAACATAAAGTCCCTACATAAGTAATTAAAGTTTAAAACAATTACAGCAGCTACGATTACATATATTATCTTGTCATAATCTTTTACTTACATTCTAGTGACACTACATTATGTTGTGATTTATATTTCTAAGTTTATAAATTATATGTAATTTAATATAGTAACTATATAACCGCCACAGCGGCTTATATTACAAATTGCAACTATATCTCATACTTCATAGTGGTAGGATTTAGCTACTACTGGTATCTACTAAATTGGAGGGTTGTGGTTACAAAATATTATAAGTGGTAAGGATAGTTTCGTGAAATGCGCTAATCGATTGATTAAGCAATCAATAAATCCAGCATTGCATTGTAACCAGTTATATTAGTCATCGTATTACTTCATACATTTGAAATAAGTTATTGAATGAATATTCGCCTTTTACAAACTTCACAGATTATGTTAGATTTGCTATGTATTTTTAGAGTCATATACAGTAATATTAGCTTGATCTTATGGCAAAATAGCTCCTTCACTTATAGGCATGCTAATAACTGCAGTAATAATCGGTGAACTCTTTCCTTTGTGGAGTACAAAGACCTGCAAAAAAAAGTAAAATAATTCAGCTTTTAGCTTTAATAAAAAACTCCGAATAAAGGTATGCAGTCCAGTAGTAAATAGCAATTTTATATAACGTAAAACACATCAATAAACAAACCTTGATATTATCTGAAATGCCTTTATCACTTAAACATTCAACCATAATTTCAAAATTATAACTTAATCCCGGCACGATCATGGGTATCTATCATTTATATTAAGCATCATCTTATCAAAATAGAGTCTAAAAATGTTGTGCTAGTAATTTGACAGCATTGATCAGAATAAGGAAGGTGCTGAAGAGAATTGTAACCTGAATGTAAGTTCTATCCAATTTATAAAGAGCATCATCGTATTGGGAAGTCATTAATAAATCAAATGATGGGTTATTTGCTGATGTATTTTGCAAGTTGATTGTTAATTTAAAAACTGGGCCAATTCCTTGAACCTAAGTTAGAAAGATCAATTTTAGAGTCGAATAACTGGATATACAATCTCTTTTGATCAAAGTGTCCGTAAAATATATTGAATCATATTGGTCTACCGTGGCTGATAACTTTAGAGGATCTTGCAATAATGCTGATACTGGATTCAAACTTGTGGTAAGGGCTCTAACGTAGGAACGTGCTGATTCCAAACGCAGCCGATATAGATCATGCTGAAAAGTTCTGTGCATTGCTATCACGAGTCAAATAACGTGGTGTTATACATCTTTCAATATTTAAGTAGTCAGTATTAATTATAACTTTGAAACCTAAATTACGAAATAGGAACTAGACAACTTACAAACATAGTTCTCACGTTCTCTTTGCATTTGATCGACAAACAGTTTTGTCTTTCTCGGAACGTTAAGTTTAAGATTTTGGCCAGATGGAGCACCGACAACTTTGTGTAATTAATTCAAATAATTAAAGTAAAATGAGAATTTCCATTTTCCAGTAGGAAAATAGTTAGATCTATATAGCTATCTATTAATTAATACGTTGTTGGGTATCCTTAGTCTCAAACGTAGTATTCCTTTTCAGAATCCTAACAGATAATCCACCAGCTAAAACAGGAAGATTGTATGTGAAATTAGCAACTTTAATATAATCAATAGGAAATTTTTTAAAGTCAATTCTCGTAATTCTGAGATACCTTTGGTAACTAATATTAGTGAGCAATCTTCTCGACCAAATCGGCCGAATTTTAAACCCGTGACTGGATCCTTTGACATTATGAACAAATCTTAGTAGAGAAATTACTGCCCTACTTAATGAGATTTAGATATCTTTACCTGGGTTTTAATAACGTTCACTAAAAATTTATCGCGATAAATTCTTGTTTCTCCATTATTTAACGCTACCAAGACTATCAAAATCAGGTTTCAATATTCAAAGAGTTAAATTAGGTGATTAATTAGCGGTTCTGCTTCATAGTAGGTCAGTAAGCAATTAATATCATAGCTATACCGGCTTTAATTCCCCTTGCTTTATAAGATAGTAATTCTAGGGTATTAATTGTATCAGGCATGTCAAGTGACCAAATTCTCTTGCCCTATAATAGAAATTATAACGCAAATATAAAACTGAGAGGTTTCAATTTATGACAAGTTACTATACCATATCGAGATGCCTCCTTAAAATATACTCTTTGTACCTTTGTCGTGAAACAATTTAAGGTTTGATCCATGCATCCCACGATGATATTTTTACCAATTCGTTCTATGCCAACAGGCTGAGACTTTAATTCAATACAACTTTTTCCTGGATGTTTAGCACCTCTGAAGAAGTAAATTAGCACTTAACTGTTATAACTAGCATCTCCAGCATAATACCATATTTTTTTACTTTACATTGAAGTAAAATTCTATTCAAAGGTCTGATATAATTTACAATGATCTTTGATTGATAATGATTATAAATACTTTAATCCATTAGAGTAGGCTTTTAACTAGCTAAATAATAAAACAATGAACTATAGTTTTAATAAAAGTAAATTATCACTGCCATGGTTAACATAATTAAGGTTGGTAATTGTATAAATATGAACAGTCTTGCCTGATTTAATTTTATTAATTTTATTTTTACCTTTTCAAGGTATATAGATTCCCATTTCGACATGCAACAACGATTCGATATTCTACGTCGAAGAGACCAGATACGGATAGGAAAACTGGAACACTTGGTAAAGTCATCTAGATCAAGAAAATATTATAAATATTAGAACGGTCAATCATATCATTCCTTCAATCATTATAGATCAATTCTTGAATCACATTTTCCTACCTTAGCTAAGACTGTATACGCTTCAGAATCAAGAACATAAACATCTTGACTTTCCGTTCCAACGACTAAACAACTGATAGCATCGTCATCAGCATGGCTTTTCTTCAATGCTGCTATTGCCGTAATAACAGTCTAAAAGAATATTACAGGAACTATCGTTAGAATGATATAAACTCTCAATGAAGCGAGTATCTAACAGCGGAAGGCTTTAATCCATTACAGTTTAATTCGTTAACCTGTCGTTTCAAAGGGGTATGTTTATGAACGCGAAGAAAGGCTTCAAGGTCGCTTTGCTCCAATAAGACATATCTGTTGGGTTTAATAAGATTAGCAACGATTTGATTTCCAAGCAAAATGTGCCATACATGACTAAAAATTGAAATAGAATTACCGAAGACTGCGTATGGTTAGCGGAGTTCGCGAATCATCCCTTAAAATATCGAAAGAAATTACATGGTCAGTTTCGCCAATTGAATAGATTTTTAAATCAAAAATTAGTTACTTTAATCGTTCTAAGCTCTTTTTCAGTGTTAAAGCGTCTATTTTCTCCTATTAGGGTAAATAAGACTCGCATCTTTAGAGTCTTTTATGAATAACATAAATTTTATATTTGAAGCTTTTTTTGACAATCCAGTTTACCTCTCTGGCTTGTTCCCATAATTCTTGCTCTAATTTGTTAACCTGCATTTTTTAAATTAATCTCTTATTAGTATAAACTGAGATGGTTCACATACTACCACCGTACGTTTATAATTTATTGCAAAAAATTGAATATCTGTTGAAGTATACCTCTAAAGGAGGCAAGGTAAATTTAAAAAACGGCTTCAAGTTCTTATAAACGTAAATAAATGGACCAGATGCAACTCCAACGGCTAAAGAACACAATTTTATTTTGATTAAGTAATTTAGTATTTTAATTCTCTTTGAAGTTAGATATAACTCTGAGCTGCTCTAATAGTACATTTATTGTATATATTTGGAATATGTACAGCACTGTTGATACATAAAATAAACATATAGAATTATTTTGCTCGCAGTTATAAGTGATTAACACTGGATAACTAGATAAAATTATAAAGTGCACGATAGGTTCATTCCTATGTGATTCGTATATTTTGGGATTTGATATTATTCTAACATAGCAGCGTATTTATATTTCGCGAAGTTGCCAATGTTATAGGTAGCTATTAATGAATTACTGAGATGATGATGCTTGCCTGCATGTCTGAATAATTTTAAATTACTTATAAAACAGGTTTCTACAGAGTAGGAATAGACTGATATCTCTTAGTGAAGAACTAGTTCTGAACTATTGCTTGGCTCGTAATAAAATTGCGTTTCACTACTGGTGAAATATTTTACGAAAACGTTTCACGTAATTACTACTTTGGCTTCTAAATTGTAATTGATCTTAATAACCACTTTCATCAATTATACTACACATAACATATACAATATATTTTATATAATATACATAATCTAGATGAGGGTCGATTTTAACATAATAGTTAATGTATTACGATATGCAGACTTTGCGCAGTGATATGCATTTACTTACCAGGAACTCGTGGTTCAGTAGCATCCATATGAAATGTACAAACGCCAGTTGGTAAATCAATAATAGTTGTCTCTGAAACAAGTGATGTGCCTAATGATAGACAAGTATAGTAAATGGAATAAATAATCATAAGTAATGAAATTTTGATTATAACGTCAAATTATTCTTTACCTTTCCATACTTTAAGTTTCATGTCATAAACACCAGTTCCAAGATCAGCAACAATTAACTACAAAATAATAGAAACGATAAAAGAAAGATTTCATTCGCACTCTTACGTTAGGTTAGATAGTTTATTTCATCACTTTACCTTATGGTCTCCATCTCCGTTTAAGTCAGCGAGAGCTTTCATCAACAGAAATTAAAGTAAATTAAGTTAAACTTGTAGTGCTTTATATTACAGTATATGAAATACTTGGAAGTTCTTCAATTTTTTATCAGTAATTGTAAACATACTACAATATCACCGTTTGTAGGCTGAAGAATAAGGAAAGATGTAGATAATAATGTACATACCCATACAATTGGTAAAAGTATACAGAGAAGCAACCGGATCTGAGTGAGCATTTAGCCAGACACTATTGCCCCTTCATATAACAATTTAAAAAGGTGACTTCAGTTACAAATTATCAAAATAGGAGAAAGAAATTAAATAATTTCAATTTAGTAGTAAAATAATCACATTGTCTTAACGATAACTACTATGTAAAATTTTTATACTTGGAAGCATCAGCATTTTTATCTTGATCGCCATTAGCGTTATTGATTTCGCTATTGATTAGCATTTTTATGGAGTTCTTTTCAATATCAACGAATTATAATCTCAGTTATATTCTAATAATATTAAGTCTAGCTAGGTGATAGTAAAGAAATGAAATCTTGACTTTTTACTGTTCTATCCAACAATTTTTAAAAATTATCCCTAAATTTCTGTAATAGTTATTAGCTTCAGTTTGTCTCTTAATGGTCTTATTATTATTATTATATACAGTACGCAGAATGGATCGGAAAGCAGTGGAAGATTATAACGATACTCGATAATGTTGTGCGGAGTCTCTACGTAGTTTTGTCAAAACTTCTGTTTTCCCCTTACTAAATCAATAGAAATTACTTTGGAAATGAGAAGTTCATGTATCTACAGTATAGAAATTAGCGTCTACGGTTTAAAATCGACAAATCTACCATACTCTTCAATTTGTTTCTTTGGCAACCACACGCATGCGTAGTGTACCCTTAAACCAATGGGGTAAAATATCACAAATACCGTTATTCCTCTAGTTTCATAAAAATGCAGAGGATTAATGCTAATTATGCGAATCTTATAATTATCAACACGATATAATCTGGTTACTTAGAATAGCTGTAGGTAACTCGGTATTTAGGGAGCTAGAAATTCCTAAGATAGCCGATAGTTTTAATTAAAATACTATACGAGGTCATCTCTTTATTCGAGATAAAAGTTATAAAGGCTTCAAGACTTAATTCATACTTATTTATGTTGACACGCGCATACGTATGCATTGATTTTTAATCATTTTTATAAGTATTATTTGAAATTAGCAAATCAATCATCTTTATATCTGGTGTTAGCTTACGTACTTTGAGTACTAATTAGTCAATACGTATACACATTTACGCGACCAAGGATTACGTATACATATAATGCATTATATCCTAGCCGATAGCGGCAACCGGCTGTCATAATGATGTCAATGTTGCAGACAATCTAGATATGGAGTATGCAATGTGCAACCAACTTTATTCATTAACTCTAATGGTACAGAACCTTACTTCCAGATGTACATCTCTGATTGAAAGCTTTGGTCTAGATTATCGCGCGTAGGCGCTTCCGATAACGTACATTTATAGATTGGGTACTATGTACAAAATTTTATCAGGCAAGAACGAATAAACATCGCTAATTTATATATAAAAATCCATTTTAACAGATTGAAATTACATCTTAATGATGATCGCTTTTAAATAACTGTTACATAGGAAACAGTGTTATCGATGTAACAGAAGTTTCAGGAAAGGCCCTACGAAGATCCTAAATAGGTCCTACAAATTTAAGAAAATAAAGGATGATGATATAAGACTGTTTATATGTAGAGACCTACAATCAATGTTTCATAGCGTTAAATAAATTAGTTAATCTTACCTAAGTAATCTTGGTCTAGAGAACCAACGGCAAACTGAAAATCCGAATGAAATAGAAAAATTAAATGATGAAATTAATGATAAGAATACTTAATACATCGACAATATAACTAGAGCCGACTTTGTTTATTATATATAAATTATTGCTATTACAAGTTGTTTTGATGATATAGCATTATAAAAGATGCTACATATTTGCCTCCTTAGAAAAGTAATGCTATCTATTACTTACGATATCCTTAACATCAACTCTTGTACCAACAATCTTTAGTCTAACTTCGTCGCCAGTTTGTACAATCATATCCTAAATTACAAATTATCGTTTATAATACGGTAGTTACGTACTAATCAGCGTTGATAAATAACTCTAATAATACCTCATCTTCAGTCCTAAAACAAGGAGGGTTACCATTTGGATCGAAGAACATATCTCGTGGAATAGACTTAGAATAAATAATAAAAGTATTTATGAAATGTGATATTCCAGTTAACATTAGACAAACTACCCTTTCAAGTTCTTTATATGCACTTACATATTTTGAGATGAAACAGGTTAAAGGTCCAACTTCAACGAATAATCCGACCTATAAGTAAAATCAAATTCTATAATATTGAATACTAGCAACTATTTAATAGATTCGTGTGAAGTTGAACAGCAGAAAGACGATGTTGACCTTATTTAATTGTGTTACGATACCATCGACAACTTCGCCAGGGAAAGGTTTAAATACAATCGCCTGTGAGCGAATATATTGATAGGGATTTAATTAATAGCCACGATTTAGATAATTTTTCTACAATATTCCATCCATTAATTGGTTCTTCTAGCGCATAACTAACCTTATAACGGACAGGATAAACTACAAAACCTGAGTTTGGTAATATTTTCCCAACACCAACCTTATCGATAATGGTTACAGCAATAACAAATCCATGCCTACAGTAAATACACACATATTACATGGTTAGCATAAATTATAATCAACGAGAGTCAATGCTGATTGTTCTACCATCTAAAATATGGTGCTGATTACACAATTCTATCTACAGTTAATTAATCTACTTTAGTTATCGTCTGCAACGTAATATCCAAAACTATTCGCAACAAAGGCAAAGATGCAACGCTTACATATAAGTCAAGTACTAAATGATTTGTGTTGCATGGTAGATAACGCATTTCTTTTTAAAAGTATACGTTAATCACTCTATTTCTTGAATAGCTGATATTATAATATCGTTCTATGTAATTATCTACAAATTTTAGTGACAATTTCATAACAACATCAAATCTATATTCTCACAGTCTAGGGCAAATACGTATACAAGTCTGAGTAACAGTAAACGTGTACGGAAATTAACTATTCTGAGACATAAAATATAGAATAGATTATACATTTCCTCAATAAAAGCAATAAAAATAATCAATCTATTGCATGATTGATAATGTAATATGACAAGATCGCGGCATGTAACAAGTTCTGAGCAAAATAATTCTACATCCTGTTATCAAGACGACATGATGGCCGGACTTACTTGCCACTGCAGGTACCTTCGACTTCACTGAATAACTTCCTTCGAACAGTATCCAGTAAGTTAGGCCCAAAATAACGGGGATGTAGCGTAATTTCATGCTCTAATGTCACCTTTAGGTGATAATAGAAGATAAATTGACGATTAGTACTTGTAAAATATCAACAAATAAGTTGTTAATCACATCAACTTACATGGAAGAACATCTTTCCTTTCTTCACCGAATGAAGTGGACTAGCATGGCGCATGTGCATTCGATCCTACGGCCACATTGCCTAGTCGTAGACTCGTGAATTCCCTCTACCGACGTATAGTGTACATAACTATCTTATCTTATATGCTTTACTATATCTTGTGGACTAGTACATTAAGCACATGCCTACAGTCGATGCAAATACAGTGTACTGTACACAGTACTGTAGACTGTACTGTACAGTATCCTGTACCGTAGCGTTCAGGCGTCAGACGTTGAGACCGCACCGGCTTCAAGATGGCTTTCTCCTACTTTGCATCGTCTGTTCGATATCTATCAAGATATATATATCAAGGCCCCCATTTAACGTCTACAGGATCACTTAGCAACGTTGTTCATTCTACAAAGATGAGCAAGGTATAATATAGAGTAGATATTGATCTTGCATGATCGATGATGAGATGACATTGTACAACATTCTTTAAAATTTTTCCTTTTGCACGTTTACAGGCATGGCCGAGATTAGCTTCAACAGCAATCCAAGAGAATTCTTTGATACATAATGGTAACTATCTTGCTTATACACTAGCTTAGGGTAGAATTGGTTCTGCATCTTCATAGTTTACTGTAAATTACACTGGATGATACTTTATGCAATTACAGAAATTGCATAAGAAACCTTTATGCCTTAGCTCTAAGTCAATCATAGTGCTTTAGTCGGTACTCAAGCGTACTGTAGTAACAATTTTAATAATTGAACGTTCAACGTTAATCTCAATTTTCACTAGCAGCGTGATATATGCTTTATAATAGAAGTATTATGATACCATGGTAAATTAACTGTGTTTTTAAAGCTTAAATAATGCGATTTAGTCTCTTAGGTACAACCTTTCTGTAATCCAAAGCGGTAATTGAATGTGCAGTAATATACAATGTAGTATAACACAGAGTATTTACTAATGTGGATAATTTGTATAAATTGATTTTGGTAATCCTTTTATTTGCATTAGCTGATTTAAGCAATGATAAGGAATATCAAACTTATAAACCGACTATCCCACAAGCTTGGTTTACATCATTGGATGGGCAACTCAAGGGTTTAGTTGAACTGGATAGGAGAGTCTTCTTAGCAAATCCGAGGTAAAACTACCAACTATTTTTGGTCCAATCGTTTACATACTAACGTATAAATTCATAATTTTACCCTTTAATTACATTTTTACAACAACCTTAGGATAGATATCTTGCATCGTTATGTCGTTTGGCAGTTAGCAAAGAGAAGAGCGGTAAAGCTTTGTGCTATTACTATACGTCTGATTATAATTATGTTAACGCCCTCGATTTATACAAGTTGGTATCATCATTGCACCTAACTTTCATTTTCCTGTTGATGATAGGGTACTGCAAAGACGAAGAATCGAGGTGAAGTTAGAGGAGGTGGAAGAAAGCCATGGCCTCAAAAAGGCTCAGGAAGAGCTAGACAAGGAAGTATCAGAGCTCCACATTTCAGAGGAGGTATTAAGAATTTTGTTTTAGCGAAAATTTTATTGACACTACCTGATGATACTTTAGTTATCCACTAAACTTAGAATTTAATCAAAGCGTAGTGTTGCATAGTATTCACTATGCAATTACGGTATTATATTCATGCAGTCTTTAAACAGGAATCGTAATTTCTTTAGGTGGCACTGTTCATGGACCTCGCCCTCGCAGTTATGATTTCACCTTTCCTCGTAAAGTTAGATCTATGGCAATACGTGTTGCGTTGTCGGTCAAATTTGCTCAAGTATGTGATATATCATGAATTTTACATAGTATAATATAATCAATGATTTTATCAATAATATGATGACATCGTTCTTTATAGGGTGATTTGTATATCGTTGACTCATTTGGTTTGGAGACCCACAAAACACAAAACTTAAAGGACTTACTCGATCAAAGAAATTGGTATAGCGCACTTCTTGTAGATGGGTAGGTAGAACATACACATTTGTAGTGATAATTTCGTTTTGTATTATTGATTAGGATTATACTGTATGAATGACGTCAAAATTTAAGCTAGCATAATTAAATGAGTTACTTACCCTGTGATATTACTCCTAGTAATACATATGTAGATGAAAATCTTAGACTAGCTGCAAGAAATATTCAAAAGTGCGATGTCCTACCTAGCTACGGTTAGAATCAGAATCATTACCCAAATGTGTTTAAATCTCCTCTTCCGACTGATCTAGTTGTTAATTGATACTTCAACTCTTTTTTATGCCATTCAATTATATTTAGCGCTTAATGTACATATGATGCTGAAAAGACATGCACTAGTTCTATCCCTTCCTGCATTGAAGATATTGCAAGAACGACTTGTAAAAGATATAGCTGAACCCGCTTGGGATAAATATGATTTTAAAATGACATCATTAGAATCCATACCGGAAAGTAATGATCAACTACAACTGGAAGAATCAGAGGAATTTAAAGAATCATAATACCGAAGAAACGGACTTTTTTAAAAACGATTTCTTTGCTAAATTTATTTATTAGTATAATTGTAGAAGAGTCATTGATTTCAAACAGTCTATTTTATAAATTCTGCATTGCTTCGATTTTATACAAATATTACCTTATCAAATTATATCGTCTGCTAAACAGGTCTAAGTACTTAAGAATTAATTGTATTGTGTCTGATATATAATGTATATGTACAATAAAAGATTATGGACTGGGCTTCAATTATATCATTAATTGTCGGTAGCCAACAGCTCGTATAGTACATGATAATCATACTGCTAATTCCATATCAACACTACATATATTTTTTTATAAAGCCAAAGTACAATTGATGGAAGGTAGCTAAGCCATTCCCGCTCGAATTTCCCATCTAAGTGCCTTCCGTTTCTTATCAGTCGGTACAATGTAATCATTTGGAGCATGGCATTGATGTGGCCTCTAGAATAAAATTATTAAAAAGTCAGCTTGGCACAAAGATGCCGCTCATTATAATTGTAGTACTCACCGATTTAGGAGGATCATATTGTTGTATAAGTTGTTCCTATACCAGTTATAAATGAGATTATACAAAGGACAATCATTAGACGCAGAACGATGTATTGTAAAATTAAAAAATACTTAAAACATAAATTATGTACATAATAGAATCTGATTTTGAAAAGGTATACAGTAGGATTTTAATTTAAATATCTGTTTACTGATCATATATCCCTGTTCCCAAGGTTTGAATTTAATTTATAGTAGTAATTAATATTCCTTACCCTAATTTGCCATCGAAGGACTTTGTGATTTTTTTCTCCCGGTACTCCTCTTGATCTCCATTCATTTGCATACCGATGATACCTGAATAAGCAATGGAAATTATAACTTTACTGGGAATTACTTATTAAATAATTAGTAAATGCTTATTATTACGTTGCAACAGGGTCAGTTTTTTTCAGGTTTCGAGTGTGAGGATGCGTTGAAGATGGACGAATAACTGAATTAATTAACAATAAAGTGAAAAACTTAGAGACACTGTATATAGTAAAACAATCATGCTTACGTATAATTTATATAACTGCATTAAAATTTGTATTTTATAACTTACAGGAAGGTAGAACTTTCACAGAAGATTGAGGATAGTCTGTCCAGGTCTGCTGAAAAAAGTCAATATCTATTTACATGATTTTTTTGTAATATCTTATCATCATCAACAAATCCATCCGTAGAGATTACAGTATATCGGGAGTAACTACAAACCTCATCGCTAGAAAATTTAGCAGCTTCGTTTGGCGAAACTGATCTTCTATCACGATTTAAGTTTTCTGCTGAATTGCTAATTCTGAATCTATCTGTATAGGCAGATTTTGCACCGTCACGCTCATCTGTAATTATTGAACCTGCAATAATTTAATCCAATTGTTATTGCTAGCATTTGGTAAAAAACAATTCATTTGGCTATACATCTTTATCAAAATAAGTATATTGTAAGCAATATTATATTTACCAGCTTCGCTTTCAGTTCCTGATTCATCAAATACGCGCGATTCTCCATTGTATTTTCTAAACAATGATATTTTAGTTACGTAAAATTTTATTCCTGCATTAGTGTACGCATGCATTAATGTTATTCATAGAAATACCTTAAAACTTTTCGTTTTAGTATTGGTTTTCCTGCAGAAGGTGCAATCGCTGATGCTTTACTGATATAGCGATTGATATTTCCTCTATTATTATCAGCTGATTCCTTATAGTAAGAGAAATTTTCCTTGTCGCCAATAATGTTTATCTAATATCAAGAACAGTATCATTACTATCAATGCTGAATCTTGACAAAAGTTTTATGCCGCTTACAATTATCCTCTGAAAATGAGGAGATGCTAAATAATACGAAATTATAGTATCGAACACGTAAAACATTTTGTTACTCCATTGCAAGTGAGTGAATTGAAGATCACTAAGAAGATATATATTGGGGCTAGAACTAATTATATTAAATTATACAAATTTAAGTACTTTATTACTACAACTTTCAAATTGTTTAACGTTATCCATCACCTACACATACTCATATAAGGCAGATGATAGAATTACAGATTTTGCAATTTTTCCATATTTATACAGTATAAAAAGTGGATAACGAGTTATGAATTACCGATTTTCGTTTGGGTACGGAAACTTCTTCGGTAATTTCAGAAAGTTGAGGCCTTGTATCGTAATCTAGATGAGGAAAAAGCGATATTTGCAATAGTAAAGTGAAATGTTTTAATACCGGGCTCAATTACATAGTCTATATAAATTGTGCCGTCTATATACCCTACAGCATAGTATACCGATTATTCTCTTAAAGGATTTTACGAAATTACCGTAAATTTGTATGGGTCAGAAAGATTCTTTACTGAGTATGTAGTGAGTAACCTTATCACACATTCGACGGCATGTGAGTTAACATAATAGTGTAGCTAATATTGTGCTCTTACTTAGAGGTTAAAAATACCGGGCACATAATTACAATTGATGATAACAATAATTTCTATTCGCAGTCTAAAGTTTAATACAAAGTCTCTTACTGTGCATAAGGGCAATACAGGTATGTATTTCGGTTATATATTTATGTACAATGCACAAATGGTTAATTACTAGTAGACAGAAAGGCGTAAGAAGTAGCGTAACATAGTGGAATAACTAAATGTTCAATGTAAAGTATATGTACAAAAATATAAGGTATCTGAGGCCTATCCTGCTTCAGTATGATACTGTATATCGACATCAAAAAACAACTGAAATGATTACATGATAAGTATGGTATACAGCACTATTTTATGTATCTACTGATGCTATAAATGCCATTCTACAGTATACGAGTATACGTATACGTATTAATCAGTATCATAAGGTCTTTACAAAGCTCCATCTTACCGTCGTAATAATCGCGATCACCACCATCAAGAATATAGTCATGCGGATCGATAGAAGGTGTTGTCATAGTGCTGCTACTGCTAAGCAAACTATTTCTCTGTCTTTCATGTTTCGCCAAAGTATTCAAGTCTATAGCATATTTCAAAGAGTGAGGATACGTAAATATGGAAATAAATAATACAGTCAATATAATTATCCTGAAAGATACAAAGACTACTGTCGCTATTGTCAACCCAACTAACCTTAAAGTTATATTGGCGTAGGCTAAAACTAGTACTGTACATATAATGTGAATTTATCGATGGAATAATGATTTAGCCTTAACTAGAGTCTATCGGAAGAAATTTAAAATTGCATACTTATTGGAACGTTTCCTTAGCTAGTAATGGTGCGATTAATCAAGTCACTTTTTCATTGATTTTGGCATGGAGTTACATCAGCGATTCAATACGAATAGTGTATTAAAATGAAATGGTAACAAACTATTTGTAGAAATAAAGGATACATGATCATGCTTTTACTACCAGTCTAACTAAGTGATAGGATCATGCACATCTGCAACCGGACTACGATAGCACAAATTACAACACTCGATTAAAAAAGATATATGACAAACAGTAACATCTTCTCTTAATATACTGTATGTACGTATAGTACGTAAGTTAGTAATTACCTTCAGCAAATTTATCCAATTTATTCTTTGGTATCTGATTGTATCCAAACGATTTGAGTTGCTTTTTAATTTCTTCTAATGAGAATATACTCTCTTCATCCATTGCTCTTCTTTTAATATGTATTATTATGATTGCTCTACTTTCCAATAAAGTAAGAAATAGAATTGACAATTTAGCACCGATAGATAAGTAATAGCAAATGACAATGCAACTAAAATTGCAATAACAGCAGTTACTCCTACCAAGACAATAATTGGTCTATTTTTCGACGATTTATATCGATAATAGTTGAATCAGCGTTTTGAATCTATCTTCTTCTTGTCGCTTTTTGTTGTGCTTGGGTGTGTATGGATCAGCGAACGAATGTTCAATTCCAGGACAGTCGAGTGCAATTTTGCAGTAAATAAATAAATAGTTGTTTATCCAGATGCTATCTTATCTTAATGTGTAGCTGACTGTGGTAAAAATACGAAAGGCAAGTACTCCAATCGAACTTTCACTATGGAATCAATGGATTAAAATATGGAAAATGGGTCAAAATTTCAATCCTGCAATGTTCAAATGGCCTTAACTCTCTCACCGATCCTAACCAACCTAAATTGGCTGTTGGCTTTGCCTCTTTTCTACTTGTCGGTTATAACGAGCAAAGTTAAAATTGTGGGATATTCAATTTGAAAGGTTTTGACGCGACTACGCACGCGTACCAGGTTCACTTCTTGCTTACAGTACAATATATTGTGTACCATAGTCCTGCGGTACTGTACACTGTAGATTACGAACGAGCAATCAGTCCGAATAGGACCTATCCCCCAATCTGCCTCTAATGATTGTTCATTTACAAGAATAGAAAGACAAAAATAAAGTAAACACGCAAATGTATATTTTGATCGTGGAAAGTCTAGTGATATCTACAACTGCTGGACTCTAAACAATCTTCGCAACGTATTTTTTAATGATCGGGGCATTCTAGTGGCATCATTTGGTTGCACTGCACTAGAATACTCGTTATGTAGTCATTTAATCTGATCATGTATTTTCAAACGATTACTGCTTTATGCATTTACCTATATCAATGTTGAGCAGAAATCTCATCTTCTTTTATACGGTCTATTGTAGTACAACTCGATGGCAACTTGTACTTTGAGGTCGATGTTTTTGTACAAAAAAAAGGACATTATCGTCGACTGTACTGTATCAGTAAAAGCTGTTGCCATACAAATTTTTGTATTCGAAAATTCTATTTTACGATGATTGCCCCTCGTCCTCGATTCAATCATCAAGACTAAAATTACTTTATTACGCTAACAATTTGCCCACATTCACGTGCAAGATAAATCGAAATCGAATATGTCGATTAGTCTAATTTTTCCATTTTGCGACGTCACTAGTGTAATATTATTTGTGTTGCGTCAAAAGGATGTCAGTAGATTGAGTAGGATAGAAGTTATTTTTATTTCTGTTCTTTTTTACTTTACATTATCACTGCCAGTTCATCTTAGTCTGGACCTTAAACAGGTGATTACTGGTAATTCCTCGTAGTCCAATGGCTGCACAAGTGGACATACTGTACTGTACAGTATAGTAGTCAAGATGTGGAGAAAAGATCTAGGCTGGTGATGATGACGTGATGACTACCGAGTGTTGCTCAACTTAGGAACTCTGTACAGTACAGTACAGTACTGTATGTACTCACAGTACTATACTGTGTACGATAGCGCTTTAGCACGTACTGTACACTGTAGTAGCATGACTGTACTGTACGGTATACTGTACTGTACACCCTCGAGCGTGTTGGACCACCTAAAGACCTCCGCGTTAGTCATTCCGTGATCTCTCCTTGCTTGCTTAACAGCGACAACATTGGTCTATCATGGCGACTTTGAAAGAAATTTGCTCCGGATTGCCTGTTGATCCATTGCCACCACCACCTCCACAAGAACGCGATACCAGTGTTCCACATGCGCCAGTTCGTAAAACTAACTTGACTTTTGAGGAAGAAAAGGTATAATTTCAATCTGTATCTAAAGGACTTGTAATGGCAGTGTAAGACCATCACTTGACTCGACACTCTACAGCTTAGCTAAATTGAATAAAATACGATGGTAGTATCCATACATGATGATATTGAATGTACTATATAGTGTACACCGAAATCAATGACTTTCCTGTGCAATGGGATGATACCATTTTATTCAAGGTCTGTCGATTAGAGCTGCCGATGCAGTAGTTCAATAGCTAGCAATCGAAGCCTAGATGATCGCTTGCTCTAATTATGAGAGGCGTTGACATGGATCCGTATACGCTTATGTACATCAGTACATGTAGTATATTTATTTTATTTTATTGTACTACTGTACTATAATCATAATCAATAAAATTGCCTTTTATAGGAAGGTAAAGTGTTATAATGTTCACTGTACGGTATGATGGTAAGGATTCGTAATTAAAAATGGCTAAACAACTTTCCATGAGCAGTTTCTATATTGCCTTTCATATTGATAATGATGATATCCAAGCCTATATTAACGTATAGTAATGATGACTTAGAGCAAAAACAACTGTAATATCTTAAAACGCCTTGGTACGGTATTACTCTTGAAGTAACTAAACTACTGTGTATATGTTACACATACATAAAATGCTAAAGTTTGTTGATACACAAAATGCTAAAGTTTGTTGATACACAAAATGCTAAAGTTTATCGATACATAAAATGCTAAAGTTTATCGATACACAAAATGCTAAAGTTTGTTGATACATAAAATGCTAAAGTTTATTGATACACAAAATGCTAAAGTTTGTTGATTGTCAGCAAGGCTAATTTTTGCTAGTACAAATTCTACTCCGAAAGAAACATCAGTAATCAGAACCTAAAATAGATCACTGCAGGACTATAGCATAAAAGAGGATAACCATGATTATGCTGAAAAATAAGAGCTTAAACACAATATTAACTTTGCTTTTTACTATTGAAACGTAATATTTTGCTATAGTGTAGTATAGTAGCCAAAGTTGACCCACTGATCAATTCTTAATAAATATAACTGATATAAATCAATTAATTACAAGCACATAATAGTAATCGTTCGCTGCACACAGGTGTGAAATTGTTAATTGTATGCATCTATAGAATGTATACTAGTGTTCATACGTATATAACGATAACGATATTACTGCCATTTTATCTTACAGCTTGCATTGAAAAATGCCCTTCGTTATTTCCCAATCGAATACCATCCTGAGTTGGCTCCTGAATTTGCCTATGAACTAAAGACATACGGCCATATTTATATGTATCGATTTCGTCCGGCTATTCCAATGAAGTAAGATAAATACATTAGATTGAAAATGATGATGCACGTTCAGTCCTTTCTGTAATATAGTAATTGAGTATAACTAGGAACGCTAGCTAATGAGATCGCGTTCTGCTATCTTAATTACAATTCTGATAGAATTATGTAAACTCGATTCCCATTCCTATCTTATTTAGATGGCATCTAGTTCTGAAATAAGTATTTATAAAATACCATCTCATTATAATTGTAAATAACAGAGCCTATCCGATTCATGAATATCCAACCAACACGAAACAGGCTGCTGCAATCATGCATATGATTATGAATAACTTGGATCCCGAAGTAGCTCAAGTAAGAATGTTCAACAAACTTTTTTGATATCTACAGGATCATACAATAATTAATCGTTATATTTTATACATTACTATAATTATAAAATGATAATGTATGGTATTCCTTTAGCCTCCCTCTCATTTTATTTGTAGTTTCCGCACGAATTAGTAACGTACGGGGGCAATGGTCAAGTTCTGTCAAATTGGGCACAGGTACGATGAGATGCTATCAAAAGTATACAGTTTTTACTTATTTACAAGTTAAATCTTATAATATGAGAAGAGCTACAAAAAATAAATAAGCCAACATAACGATGATGCTAGTGCTTATACCCAGTGATCTGGTACTTGTTGTCTAATGTCATTCCCAGGCGTAATAATGCTAAAAATTGGTGATAAAATTTTACAAAATACCAGTCGTATGAAACATTTTATTATTTCTAGATATTTTTTTCATCGCTAATTTGTGTATGAGCGTTATATTACATTGTTTAGTGTTGTACGTACATTTAACATGATTACATTAATGTACTAACTATTAGCTTTTCATTTACCGCAAATGGTAAAGTTTTGGATATTGATGTACTATTTGGCGGAAATGAATGAAGATCAAATGCTGGTTATGAATTCTGGTCATCCACAAGGACTCTATCCAGCCTTTCCGGATTCTCCAAGACTTGTTATTTCGAATGGCTTGGTAAATTTATCCATGGCCTATCATGTTCTTTACTAAAGTTATATAATTGTATAATTTACGCCTATCCCTGTGAACCTTCTTCATATCGTCGTTACATCCAGATTTATCAATCTATCTTTTGTATCTAGGTTATTCCTAATTACTCTTCTCGTTCGGACTATGAACGGATGTTCGCGTTAGGTGTTTCAATGTAAGTGTACAGTTCGTATTTTAATTTATAGGTAGAATGCTGATAAAAAATTTCCTACTACATTTCAGGTATGGACAAATGACTGCAGGAAGTTATTCTTACATTGGACCACAGGGAATAGTTCATGGTACAACGGTAAAGACGCATTATATAGGATAAAACTAAAAACTATAGTGCTATATTATTTTGCCGACCTATACGCTTCTTAATTTGATCAATTGGACTAAGCCAAATAAAAAACTTTCACAGTTTCTATTCATTCATATCGGTAGAAGGCTGAGTAATGATGCTATTTGAAAGATATAATAAATATTATATATATTTAATTATACAGATAGCACCATTGATTGATTATGATTTAAATTGAAATTAGATTACTATTATGAATGTTGCTCGACGTCGAACTGGCACATCTGTTATGAGTGGAAAGGTATTTTATATTTATCATTAAAGTATACAACCATACACGATAAAATGAACTCATAGTATGCTGTTGTTGTAAGGTTTTCGTCACTTCAGGCCTGGGAGGTATGAGTGGCGCTCAACCCAAAGCTGCCGTAATCTGTGGTTGTATTGGTGTTGTAGCGGAGGTATTGTAATGAATTCAGCTTAGAAAATTTCGTTGGTATTTCACAAAAGTAATTGTTTAGCGATAGAATATTCGTTTAATGTGATTATGTTAGGTCAGCAAAGATGCTTTAGAGAAGAGGCATAAACAGGGGTAAATACAGCGTATATCTTTATAACAATGTAAACCTAATCTATCCACTCTTTGAGTACACTCATAATTATCATTTGTTAGATGGGTGACTACCGTTTGCACGTCCTTGGAAGATTGCATAGCACGAATAAGGTAAGCAAATTAACCCTAAAATCATGTTTAGTAATATAGTAACTATATTTCTTCAATTAATCATCTACAGATTTATATCATTTAATCACTTCTTCAAACTAATTTGTTTCTTTAAGATATAAGCAGATACTCATTACTGTAGCTGACTATTAGCTATAATTGATTTGATGTTCATATCAGCTTTTATTTATACTTACTGCTATTCTCCTCTATATAACTATTAATACTATTCAGGGAGTACAAAAAAAAGGGAGAAGCTGTTAGCATAGGTTTCCATGGAAATGTTGTGACTCTATGGTAAGGTTTATTTTTCACACATATCATCACGTATCCAATGTTTGTTAATTTATCTATCGCCTCTCCAATACAGGGAGGGACTTGCGGAAGAGTATGAAAAAACTGGAGAATTATTAGTCGATTTTGGATCAGATCAAACATCTTTACATTGCCCATTTAACGGTGGTTATTACCCAGTACAGGTAGTCCAGATATAACTTAAACTTACTACGGCAATCGCAATCTACATATCTACTTATTCGTTTCAGTATGGATCAAAGGGATGCAAGAAATACGTTATTGTCATGATTACGCAGTAAAGAATTTTCTACATATATCGTATATTTTTGATACAGTTAACTTTCGAAGAAGCACAGAAAGTTATGGTAGAGAAACCCGACAGATTTAAGACTATGGTGCAAGAAAGGTTATTTTTGATATCTATATAGCGCTTGTACCTGTACTTTAATTCGCTATTTTATACTCTTAAATATATAATACTTTCTTTTATTAGTTTACGTCGTCAAATTGCAGCAATAAATAAATTATCTGCTCAAGGTATGTATTTCTGGGATTATGGAAATGCCTTCCTACTTGAAGCTGGACGTGCAGGTAATTTTCCTTTATCGGATGTATACTTACTCTGTTTATTATTAACCAGAAGAATTTTATTGCGTTGTATTTATTGCCACCTAACTATGCTATATATGAAAATATCTTGCGAATGTTATAAAGTATTAATGTTACTTTATTATTGATTTTGATTTGCTATATCACAAGGTGCTGATGTATTTAAAGAATTCTCCGAAGGCAAATATAAATACCCAACTTACATTCAAGACATAATGGGGTAATTGCAAAATATCGAAACTAAGTTTTGGTTGAGCCCTTGTTATTATAAAAAGTAATATTTCTTTCTCGCTATTCTTTCTTTATACCTACAGAGATATATTTTCTCTTGGCTTTGGCCCATTTAGGTAATGTTATTTGTATGAAATTAAATCTCCTTGATTTTCTAATTTTGTGTTGATTTGATACCGTACACATTCTAAGACTATATGACCTATATTTCATATAATAAAGGTGGGTGTGCACTTCAGGGAATCCTGTGGATTTAGAGAAAACTGACGAAATTGCAAAGACTGTATTACTTAATGCAATTGGGGAAGGAGGTTCATTTTATAGAGTATCAATTTTTATATATTAGACGTCAATGGTTATTAAAAGCATCGTAAATATTAATATAATAATGCTTCTCTTAGTTCCAGAAAATATTCAGGAACAATATGAAGATAATATCAAATGGATTACGGAAGCTGCAAAGCATAAAATGGTACTTCAAAACATTGATCAGCCTTAAATAATAAGTCGTACCTAGATGATGCATTTGTATCATCGTAAGCTCCCTAAAACTAATAACAATACTTGAGAATGATTAGCATAGTAATGAAGGTATCTACATAGGTTGTAGGCTCGCAAGCTCGTATATTATATTCCGATCTGAAAGGACGACGCGCTATAGCATTAGCTTTCAATGACGCTGTTAAAACTGGAAAAATCGAGGTACTCTGTTTGTAGAATCGATACAATAATTTACAATAGGATTGTATGGAGCACTGGTTAATACTCAATATATAATTATTTCTGTTCTCGTAGACTGTTTGATATGTTCTTACTCATATCCAGACGGTTATTATTTATTGCCATAGGCTCCGGTAGTTATTACCAGAGACCATCACGATGTCAGCGGTACGGACAGTCCTTTCCGTGAAACTTCAAATGTTTACGATGGTTCTTGCTTTTGTGCTGGTAATTAAGTATATACGAGTTAAATGCTTTAGCTATATGAACTTTGGTTAGTTCATCAATTGCGTGAATTGAGAATTGGATATTATTTTTAATCGTTATCAGATATGGCAATACAAAACGTTATTGGAGATTCTTTTCGAGGAGCGACTTGGGTATCAATTCACAATGGCGGAGGTGTCGGCTGGTATGAGTTTCACTGTATAAAGTGTATAATTTCGTGATTTTTATTGCCAATACATTAGTTTCTCTGTAACGTTTCTAACTCGTCATCACCTTTGAATCTTGACGTAGGGGAGAAGTTATTAATGGTGGATTTGGTATTGTCTTAGATGGAACTCCCGTTAGTATTGTGTCGATATCAGTTTAAAATATTAGCTTATGTATTGCCTACCCGACTTCGAAATTAGTTATGTTCATTAACTTACTACAATACAATAATTATCATAAATTCAATTAGGAAGCTGATGAGCACGCTGCATCTATGCTTATGTGGGATGTCTTAAATGGGGTAAATTAAAATTCGAATGAACGATAAATCCTTTACGATGAAAGGACTGCATACATCATTGTATAGTAATAATTTCAAGTGTATGTATACTTAATTCTTTAATTTTATTAGATTTCCAGACGAAGCTGGACAGGTAACTCCAATGCTGAAGCAACTATAAAACTTGCTATGAAAGATATTCATAATTTGGAGGTAACTGTTCCATACCATGTCAAAGATCACTCAGTAATAGAGTCAGCTTTAGAAAAGTGGCACAACGGCTAGAATTCATCATCCTATTTGCATCACTATAGCATTGAGTTTGATATCACCAGAAATTTGAACGCTTTAGCATCCACAGCTTTAAAAATTACGCCTGACATACTATTTTATAACACCTATCATTGTAACTGAGCTACTCGATGTTATCTCAAAGTTACGCAGATGGTTCGAGATAAGTAATCATAATCATAGTAGTCATGATTAAGCAGCAACAGATGAGTGCATAACAATCACAAATATGCTTATAATAATATGTAGCCGAAACGCCAGATTCTGGTAGAATCTCTTTCGCAATATTGTAATGTTTAGAAATTTACAGTTACAATTACATATTATATACTCCAATATGTAAGTTTTCGAGTGAACTTAGAAATTAATTATTCACAGTATTAAAAATATTTATCCAAGTTGTACGTGTAGTGTAATGCAACTAGCAATAATCTCTCGTTTGTAATAAACTTTCAGTGAGGAATACATCCTTTAATGGCATTTATTATTCCGCATACAACCATATTGCATAAGGTTGTTTATGCTGGATGCTACAGTTAAATAACGTTCATTAGTTAACAATATAACGTATAACTTGCCTAATAATTATGATCGGTACTACACGTATAAAATAAAATTTAAATTTATTAGCTATTTGCTATTCTGAAATAAAAATATATTAAAGTGGCACAACCATAATAGTATATTTCATATATACTGCATCTCATAGTTAAAGCATAGCTGACCATTATAATAAAAAGATATACAAATTTATTAGCCTATAAAATCAGATTTTGGAATGTTACTAGGAGCATGCCGGTTGCAAAATTTTAATATACACAATATCGTTTCTGCATTCAGTAGCTTTATAGCAAATCGTAATAAATAGTAATTCAATAGTCTCAATAATGCAATACATAATATGTAGCTATTTCGATATCATTCTAACGAATGAATACCAATTATATTAGCCAAATTTGTAAGTTGTGAAAGTTCTATCAAATATCGGCTTACATGGAACAATTGCTCCTAATTTTGTACATAGTAAAAATACGCCTGACATTTTTCGATGTAAGGAATAACTTTCCTCTGGTGGTGGTGTTAATCGATGTTGTAACATAATAGGAACAAGGCTTCTTATTTTATATGTTAAAGTTTGATCTCGGAAATTGTACGGTTCACTAAAAGAAAAAGGTTCACCAAGTGCTACTACAGCTTCGATATGGGCTTCAGTCATTACCTAGAGACACAAAGTTACATATAATGTTACCTTTACAGAAGTGATAAATTCATTTTAATTATTCGCAGTATAATACAAATCGAATTTTGAAAATAGGCTAAATTTATAGCAAATTTTTACCTTTGATTCATAACCAGTAAGAAAACCTAACTTCTTCGATGCTTGCTCGATAGTCTTTCTGTCCTTTTTAGAAGCAGCATTGATAATCTACAAGGCAAGAATTAACAAATAGCACCGTGATTATATTTTATAATACTATATATCGAATAAAAATAATACATACTTTGAAGTACTCGTCAACAAAAGCTTTGTCGTATCCACGAGTGGCACCAAAGTCTAGCAATATAACCTATAGTAATGGGATGGATGCGATAATTTAAATTAAACGATAAAGTAAAAGTACTGAGTAACGCGAGAATTACAGCAGAAATAATCTTACTTTTCCACTGAGCGGATCGTAAAAAAAATTTGACCAATTTGGATCAGTTTGCATATATCGTAATTCAAAAACTTCTCGAAGGCATAAATCTAGAATATTTAAGCTTATCTACGGTAAAATAATAATAATAACATACAGAAGAAATTAATCTAAAATGGAAGCATTGCAATTGAATGTGCAAGTTAAGAAATTTAATCACTACTTTACAATAATGAGCATATTGTAGTTTATCATACCCTATTACGAGTCTCTTGATCCAAATCGAACGTTTTATCTAACGGCATTCCTCGAATGAATTCACACGTTAAGACTCTTTTGGCGGTTAATTCAGGAATTATTTCCGGGATATAAAACCTCTCATCATCCTTAAGTAATTTCCTAAATAATAGGATGATAATTAAAAATATACAGAAATCCACGATTCTATAACACATTTTAAAGTCATCAAATGAATACAGTAAATTGGATGACAACAAGTTTGTATCATCAGTGAAAACTTTACTTCATTTTTTGTTGGCATTCGGCCTCTCTTTCGTAATCGACTTCCCATGCCAATTCTCTTTTAGCAACTGTGACAGCATTCTCCGCATACATACCTATAAAATTTTCACAAAATAGATGTTGGAAGAGGGTACTAATATTTTTTACCATAATCCACAATTATTAGTATACCTTCAGGCAGCAATTTCCACATATTAAGAATGGTCATTAGTGTATCAAGGTCGCTATTGATACTATTCGCAACGCCAGGATACTAGTGTCAATCACATAATATTATACATGATAAATTAGAGTCAGTAGCTCTTTTAAAAATTTCCTAATACTAATGTTGATGACATCGGTAACGATTGTATATCACGATGGGTATCATATGAATATTCACTTATATTAATTCTACCTTTGAACAGTAATTTACCTGAATTTTAATAGCAACGACACGACCATCCTTTAGAACAGCACGATGTACTTGGCCAATTGATGCAGCTGCAACAGGTTTAGGATTAAATTCCGCAAGATTACTTTTCCAGTCATTCCCAAGCTCTTCCCGTAACACAGCCTTCACGTACGGCAGCAAAAAAAAATTTTCAATGTTAGATAAGAAATCGCAATTGCTATCTATCTCAATTTTTCAATTACTGTGATGTCTTACTTCCATTTGGTATCGAGGCATAAAATCGGCACTTTGTCTGACACGCTCAAAAATACGTTGCAATTCCGGAGAAATTAGAGAGTTATCTAAACAACAAAATAAAAACATTTAAATCCTTAAAGTTCGGGATAATTGTTTGGAAAAGCGTAGAGCAGTAAATAATAACATTTAAAGAAATTACAGCTGCAATTTTTATAAGCACAGCCAACCTTGAATACTTAGCATTTGACCAAGTTTAAGAGCAGCTCCACGTAAATTGCATAGAGTATTGATAATTTTCTCAACATTGGCTTCGCTTAAAAATACACTACCGCCAAGACCATTCGCATCTGATTCTGCTAAAGGTGAAATTTACAGCAAATATATTACATAAATAATTATAATTGAAGTATCCATGAACGGATAATATGAGTTACTAGTACACTATAATGTAAAGTTGTAAGACATACTTGCTGTGTAGCTTTAATAAAAATAAAGTAGAGTTCAATATAGTATAAAATTGTAAAATATCAATCACTTACGTGTCCTTTTGACACCTAAGGCTTTCTTTGTTGCTTCAGTTATAGCGCCGATACCTAAACTGGCGGCTAAGCCTGAAGTAACAGATAAAATGGTAGCAATATTCATCAGTTGCTATTATGAAACCATGGCATAAAATGAGGCTTACAGTATAATTGTGTAACGTCTCAATCTATGGTCTGTAATTAACTAATTTAGTATCTAATATATATTACGTTTCAGTAAGCTAGTAACTATAATGTATGCCAATATTTGATATACGCATGGAATATCATCGTGTCTTAGCACGATATTCTATACATCAGTGTTTAGTGGCAAAATTAATATTGCATTCAGCCCTTTACGAGAGAGTCACAACAGTTATAAAACTGCTAATCTCCCATACACAAAGAATGCAGTCAGTTAAAACCTTATGATCTAAGTTGAGTAGCATAAGTTTAAAAGCTATTAAGTCAATGTTAATTTGATATTACCGCTATACTTCCACAAACGGCCAATTTTTGTCGAAGGCACGGCTTTTTCTTTTGCACTTTCCGATAGCTGTATAATAGTAAATACTATTAAGAAACTGCAGGCAGAGATAGATTGACAGAATCCAAATGTACTAAGAGAGGCAATAATATACAGTACATTTTTAAATGATCTAAAGCGTAGAAAATTCTACTACTCCTATATTATAGTTCATTATCGCAGGTTAATCTGTTTTATATCATTTTGTATGATTACCATTTGTTCCGGTACTGATTTATTGATTTGATTTTCGTCGTCTATTTTAGAAAATTCCTGAGTTTTATTCATAGTATTTTCTAATATTTTGTCTGTATTTTCAAAATTGATTGCAAAGCCTGAACTTTTGCTCTGTGATGTAACACTAGAAGCATCTGCTGTTGTACTTGGCCGATCTTGCGTTATTGATGACATCGATGTAAACGTATCATTGGTTGGGTTAGTATTCAATGGTGAGGCCATCCGCTGAACATTACTATTACTTTGATTAGAATGATCTAAATTGATGTTATTAGTTATTGGTGTAGAAGCAGTGGATGGCATAGTTAAATGATCCGATACGACTTGATCAGAAGTCTTGCTGGACTTTAGCATTTCGCCTTTGGCATGTCCAGATGCAGTTAGATTATCGCTTGATGAAGTATTTGTCGAATTTAAATCCGGTGAAAGCTGATCGCCTCCTCTATCAGAATATCCATATTTGGGTGATAATTTCGAGCCTTTAAGGCCATGATATAGCTGACTTATGGAAGAACGAAGACTAGAAAACTCCCATTCTTGCATGAAACGTTGGGCAGATTCTTGTTGAGCCGATTTGGCTATCACACGGAAACCTTGTAGTAAGCCACTAATTTCCGATAATCGCGACATTTTACGTACGTCGTATATCCAATTGATTCAATAAATAATGTAGCGAATAATGTCTCCTTTTCTAATATAAAACGAGTATCATGTGGAATTAATGGTCTAATTCAAAAGATATGAAAAACTCAATGTAGTGATGTCTGCTTAGGCTTCGAATTTCAGGTCACTGCATACGGAAAAATGATTGCAAATAGACGTTTTATGATATCATTGAATTCTTTTTTCTCCTTTTAATATTATCAACTTTTATAGCATTTCCTGGGAGGGAAAGCCGTCCAAGGCTGGTGATATCCTAATAAGACACCAATGTAACAGTGATTACATACAGAGTAGGATAAAATTAGCAATGCAATCTACTTCAATAGCGTACAGTGTATAACTACCACTGCAACTGTAAGAAAATGTGGATCAATTAAAGAATAGGGCGCAACTAGTTTTCTATGCGATTTGATGTATAGCAAGGATTGCTGAAGAGAGAGAGAGAGATGCGATCGAGTGTCCTCGATCGCATTAGTGATGCCTGTCGTTGTTTGTCATGTTACGAGTGCTGTAACCGAGTTTTCAAAGGCGGCGCTTTCCAATACAATGAAGAGAACTATTATAGATATTAAGATATTCATCACTACTCCAGGTCAAGGGTGGAATAGATACCATAAAAGTACTACGTAAAACTTACGCAGAAAGAGCTGAACAATTTACTATTTAATCATTAAGATGAATATTAGCAAGATTACTCTACCTTAAAGAATGAATATTCCAATCGTTGTACCGGGCAACGTGCTCTTGCGATATGCTGAATGTATGATAGTCGAACTGGAAGCGTATGCACTGTTTATACAGTATCTACAGCACAGTGTACAGTGTACAGTAAGAGCAGTGGATGATGACATCGTACTGTACTGTACGGTACGACATACTGTACAGTATTGTACAGTACGGTACTGAATGTCATGTCACTTAATTTGCACTACACTAATGTACGGTGCAGTACGATACTGAATGTCATGTCACTTAAGTTACCCTACATTACTGTACGGTACGTGCGTACAGTATTACGGTACAGTACTGTACTGCACAATGCACAGTGGAAAAAAATCTTCTTACCTGCACAGTACAGTACGCTACAGCCTCTAATTTTCCACATGGGACAGTACTTAGTACTGTACTCCATGATGCAACGTTCAAAAGTTTGTGACGCAATATTTGAACAGGGAAACTCGAGCCGTCCTTGGTACTGTACTGTATCGTATAGTGAGTACAGTACAATACAGTAACAACAAAATGATCTCATCTCTGCGTGCGCTGCGCATCGAACAGGTTGTCATTGAGATGGTGGGAGATTTTTGCCACGACATCTGTTTTACACATCCTCAAGCAAAGATAGAAGAAGAAAAGCTTCTCTTCTATCCCTTATCACGGACTCACCAATGAATTCAGGAATATACAAATGCTGTAATTCACAATTAAGGGACTGTAACGTTGCAGCTGTGAAGGATGAAGACTACTCAATTTTTTCAGCTAAAGAGTAGATTACTACGAGACAAATAGATTACAATGTAGATTATTCACCAGAGGCACTGCCAAAGTGGGAGAGCTTTACTAAGCTAATACAGGACAGTAGTAAGGTAGCAATCTATTGCAAGGCTTTTTCGTCATCCTCTTTACCAATTTCTCTCTACAGTTAACAACAGTTAGTATAATTTCATGACACAACTACTCACTGCCCAATCACTGCTCCATCGCTCGTCACAATTTTATTCATTTAATCACTATTAATAGATTAGAAAGTATCCAATTGCACACAGTAAATCACAGCGAGAGTTAGCTCTGCTAAAATGGGTTGCTTTACTCACCATCTACGAATATGGCAAGGCTTTTTTGTCACTCTAGAGTGCTTTATAATATTAGCTAGCTATGTATTGCAAGGCTTTCTTGTCACCTTGCCAACTTTCTCCTCTCTCTCTTTACCAGTATATTACAACAACAATCTTACTACAGAATTATTGACTCTAAGCCAGTCTCCGACGGACAGAATACTCGCTATGAGGGAGAAAGGGTATCCATACTTGCTATGAATATCGAATCGACAGTAGACAGTTCAAAAATTCAACCACTTGTCTATCCATAACTACAAGCCTACTTATGAGTATAACTGTGTATCTGTACAGTATATTAAAATGGAAAGAAAACGATAGCAGTGGATAACTACGATACTAAATTAACCTTCTAAACTACATTATGATCTACAATATATCAAAACTGCAAATAAGAACGCACTACAGCATACACCGCATATATAGTACAGTAGGGTAATTACCAACGCGATAGGAGGATATTGGGATCTGAAGTGGTGTAAACACATTGACTATGCAATCTATTCTTCATGAGTGCTTGAAGCAGGCAAATGTTGATATAACGCAATACGTTGCCACGACGAATTTTTGCATATCATGAGATAGCTATTGAATTGATTAAAATATAGAGCCTAAGGAACAATTACTTTTAATAACGGTAGAAATAAGACAGGTCAAAATTAGAATTGCTAATGGTGTACGTGTATAGCAACAATCGATTGGCTATGGTCGATTCAAACATTCTACTTATTTATAACTAGTTGATCCTCTTTCATAAGCAATAAAAATAGTTTTCTATATCGATTCCATTTGTTTTGCATAGTATAAAGAAATAATAGGAATGGTAGTTATTATTAGAATACAATCTGATCTATCCTAGCGATCCGTAAAATTAACATCTTGTAGGATCCAGTACAATAGCTATCTCTTAAAGTGTTGATGATATTCAAAATAGCTATGGGTTTACATATTCATTCTTCTCATCGTCAACACGATTGAAATTAATCATAGTCGGAAAGTAAAGTAAAATGTATGGATTGACTTTATCCTCAATTGTTGACTAGGTAGATCAACTATAGGCTAGCCATTCTTCTTCTATCATCAAAACAATCAGTGATCAAATTAATTGAAACTCCATCGGATGAATGTATTTTCTTCGTTGTCACCTTGAGGATATTTGCATGAGTTATTGTCTTCCGGCGTGGTGTAATTAATAGGCAATCAATGGATTATTTTTGATAAAGTTCTGCTTAACCTCCCGCATTCTTTCCAACAGTGGAATATAAAAATGACCGCATGCTCAATAACAACAACAGAATACAATTTTAATTCTCTTCTATTTAGGGAGCATAAAAATTGGAGTCATCTTGTTGGCAAATTGTGTGGTAGCCATTTTATTGCATATACCTAGAATAGAAATAACTGGATCAGTTATGGTAATTAGATATGAACATTAAGCTGGATCAATATTTCATCAAAGACAGAGGTTAATAAACGCTCGAAAATAGCATTGAAATGCAATTTTGATATCATGCAGTGTAAACAGTATGGCGTAAGCAAGTATACGCGTATTATAAATTATTCTAATGGATAATAACCAGGATCATCAACAATCGATGACGTGACCATTGAAATAGAAGCCATGATTAGAATACAGACAATAAGGAATTAATTTGCAAGATTGGAACTCGATAACTATCTACTTTAAATGTCTTACTATAGCTAATGAGAATGACAATATGATATTATCATGACCATGACGTTTTATTTGTCATTAAGGCATCAATGTAGTCCATACTTTTATAGAATGTGTAAAAAGAAGACAATAAGCGCCACACTATCAAATTAAACTCATAGACTGTAGTTGAACTTTTTCTCCTATCTTCACTATAATATTTTTTTGCACTTCTTCTCCTATGATGATGATGCTCAATTGGCCAATGTAGAGGCAATCGTGATAACTTGTGGATAAAATTACAGACATTCAATCCAAATTATCCAATCAAGATCCAAAATTGTTGGTAAATGACATCAACTATTTTCAATTTTATTGTCGATATTGTTGATAATGTGTGGAAACCTTCGTCTTTTTTCTCTCTATAATGATTGATTAATTCAGCAGGAAGATGATTATTTCCACTATCAACTTAACTTCCTGTTACTGTTTTTCTTTTAAATTTTCTCTCTCTTTTACACGTACAGTAGATCAATATCTATCAAACTTTACTGGATCTAGTTTGAACAATTTCTTCTTTATTTGTATTGAATTTCGATTATTTTAATGTTATCCAGCAATTAATCGAACTTAGTGATAACGAT